AAACCCAGGGTCATAAACTAATATCCATACAACAACTGAATATGTTCGCTCTATCACAGATATTGAGCACTTTCCACTAAGTACCGCGCATATATATATATATATATATATATATATATATATATATATATATATATATAGCGTAGTCGGCATCCGCATATTCTATCTGAATTTTTACACACACACACATACACACACACACACACACATATATATATATATATATATATATATATATATATATATATATATAAAGTATTAAAAATTTAAATCTTCAGACACACTAGGTTGTATATTAATATTCTTTCGTTTTTATTATTTCAGTTAGATTCCTTGACTAGTTTCGACCAACATGGCCATCATCAGGAGAAAAAATATTTATGTTTGTTAGTAGCAGTGAACTACAGAAATGAATGACTTAATGTAAAAAATGAACTTTTGTCTGTAGTCTTCATTTGTATTTTTTTATTTTTTTAACATGAATTTTGGTCAGTCCTTGTGTTGGTCAAACAGTCACTTTGAAGTTGTTATTTAAGATAAGAGCTGGATGGATTCATGCTGCTCTGAATTCCCTTGGAATTGACAGAATTTGACAGTTTTATTGGTTCCTGGAAAGAGGATGTGTCTCTGTTAAGTGTGTGTGTTATTTGGTTCTTAGAAAGTGAGCAAGTATGATGTGTGTAAGTGTGTATATTCGTATGGGTGTGTGTATAAGTGTAAAGACTCAACACCTCCGCAAGCATGTCTGTCTTGTGTGGGTGAGAAATTTGGGAAGATCCTGATTTGTGGGGTTATATATTAATTCTATCTATATTGTTAAATTTGTGATTAAGCCAGTCTGAATGGAGCGTTTTTAGGCGCCGAATCCATTTATTTTCTTAGTCCTCTAAAATCTTTCTAATGTTATCTGTTCTGAACTTTTCTATTCTCTCAATTATAGTGAATTTGGCATGGGTTTTAAAATCATGTTTTTCTAGGCGGATATGTGGTTCTACAAGTTATGATCTTCCATGGGTAGTCGACTTAATTCGATTACGGTAATTATTCATTCTGTAGTGAAAGGGTCATTCAGATTTTCCCACATATTGTTTCTGGCATAGTGTGCATTCTAGGAGGTAAATTATGATTTCTCCAGTTAGAGTCACGGTAGATTTTGAAAGTAGATTTAGTGACTGAGCTAGTGAATGAATACGTGTGTCTAATGTGGTTGCAGCACAAGCTCCTTATATATATATATGACGAAAGGAAAAATTATTTCAGCCGACGCTATGCATCGCATGATGCACTTTATCAAGACATATGAAAGGCTTTTATTTTACAAGTAGTAAAAATGTTGTTAGCATACAGTTACAGTATTCTTTAGCGTTCTTACTTTTAAAATTTTGAAAAAATGACGGCATTTTTACTTGTGTATATAAATGACATGCAAAATAAAATCCTTACATTTGTCTTGATAAAATTCCTATATGTTTATACGCGTGTTTATACGCGTGTGTGTGTGTGTTTATGCGTGTATGTGTACGTGTGTATGTGTCTGTATGTGTGTGCGTGTGTTTATGCGCACGTGCGTGTGTATCTTCCTGTCATAGTTTAGGTGTTTGTAATATTATCACCATCTACGCATGTTCATCAATTCAATATTTCTTGTTTATATTTTTCTTATTCTTCCGAAGTAACACACCTGTTTATACACACACACACACACACACACACACACACACATATATATATATATATATATATATAGGTCTAAATTTCATTTATATATTTAAAAAGTATATATATATATATATATAATATATAAAGAAATATAGTTTTAAAGGGTGATATATTTATGGGATAAAGTGCTCAATATCAGAGATAGAGCGTATGTAAATATGAATATAAAAGTGAACTTTGAAGAGGCGACAGACTGTTTCATGCTACACGCAATCGTCAGGCCGATTGCGTCTAGCATGAAACAGTCTGTCGCCTCTGAGTGTTGATTTCAATGTTCACTTATATATATATATATATATATATATATATATATATATATATATAAAATTATATTTAATGAAAAACAGACCACTTTAAGGTACCATTACAATAATTTATTTCAACAAAATCCTTTTTAAAAGGTAAACACTTCCAACAATGAAATGAGAAGAAAAATGTGATTAGAAATTGATGGGTAGTGTAATTTTTGTAATTAAACAGGGAGGGTGAAGATGGCCGTTAAAGAGACAATACAAAATATAGGGAGGGTTAAATTTACATCTCTCTTAAATAAGCTTTATATTGGGGTAGGAGGAGTGACCTAACCTTGACCTATTTATATGTTTAAAGACAACCATATTCAATTCTCAGTTCTTATTTAAAATATAACCACGCATGCTTACATACATCCGTAAATGTATTTTCATACCAATTCGTGCAAATGTTCACCGTTTTTCAATGTAGACATAATAATTTTCATAATATTAGACTTTTTTTAATCATTCCAACCTAACAAGCAAGGCCACTAGTACACAGGGATTTACGGAGAGTGAAAGTGAGAGAAAAGACTGGGTATAGATTTAATTGAGAAAAGTATAAAAGATGAACGGGATAGTGATTGACGTGGTATTCGAACATTGTACTTTTCAGGGAAGCAAGTAAACGGAAGGGATTTTGACTGTCGGAAAAAAATGACCTGTTGGAGTAAAAGTGGCGGTTATATTTAACTATTTCAACAGTAAAAGGGTGAGGCGTAAATGCCAATTTAGTAGCACGTTTAAATTCTTGTAAGCATGGCTACATGGGGAAAAGGCCCATTCAGGTATAATATTTTGAGTGTTTGAACGCATCTATATTCACTGTCGGCCTGTTTCTGTGTGTCTCCTTACAAAAGAGATTTCATATGTATTGCATTTATAAAGTTGATAACATTCCAAAACAAAGATAAAAGATATAGATGTGTGTGTGTGTGTGTGTGTGTGTGTGTGTGTGTGTGTGTGTGTGTGTGTGTGTGTGTATAAAGAAGAATATTATACCAAAGAGATATTTATTCCTTAATTCGTTGTTTTTTTTTCTGTTATTTACTTCCTGTACAGTATTTGTTCTCAAATTTGTTTATTTTTCGTTTCCTGTCTTGACGATCTAGGAGAAAACAGTGAAACGAGTTTTGAATGATATTAAAGAATTCCCATCATTCCTTCTTCTTCCGTGTTTATTTATTTTGTTAGTTTCTTTCAAAGTTCGTTTTTTTTATATTATGTATGATTTTTTTATAGAATTATTTGAAAGCTCATAAAGCGGCCATTTTTTCCATGTAATCAATACTTTACCAACGCCAAACAACGTCAGAAAAAAAAACTTAATTTAGACGCTACCCTTCCTGAAAATAAAAGGATAATGTTTTTGTTAACTTTTATAGATTTTTATACAAAATTATAAGGGGAAATAATTTCATAGTTAAATCCCTTTTTTACTATTATACGTCATCTTTTATTTGTTCCTTCTTTTTTTTTTCGTTCATATGAACTATTTTTTATTTTATGGCTAAAACGCAGTACTATAGTTTCTTAAACAAATTAAAAGATATGACAATTTTATTTGGAATAATAAAAGTACGGAAAAAAAACTTCAATGAAATGAGGAATGCGTGCGAATTTCTTTAAAGATCAAAGGATGCTACACACGTAGATGCCTCAAAACGTTTATAACCTAATGAGTAAAGAAGCGTTATTTTAAACAGAAAATATTTCTTTTTCAACATAATCTCCCTATTTGGGAATATACAGAATTCAATGGTAAATATTAATCCCCACAGATCAGACATTACGCAGCGAAATTTTCAAATCAAAATTCTGGTAATATCAACGTGTCGGTCTACAATAAAAGAAAAAGAAGGAATATCAATCAGCCTATCGACCGAAAAAAATAAGATGTGAATACCAAGTTGTACAATTAATAGAATAATGGCGGCATGTCTTCTACGAATTCCAGACAATATCAGCAAGGAAGAAAAGCATGCTGGTGACTTGAGAAGACAAAATGTCGCTTCTTACGCGGTAATGCTCACCAGAAATTCTTAGTATTAAGATACAAATAATTGCTTTAAAAAAGAATTGAGTCAGAAATAAACGGTATGTTGTACACATTGAGTGTTCGCGTTAGTATTTATTGGTGATTTTCACTAGAGATCAAAAGACAAGCATGTCGCCTATCATCCGATTTACTTATTATTCAATTTTAATTAATTAAACTAATAAAATAAACAAATTCTTAACATTGAATAAAAGGTTCAACTCTAAATATATATTTTTTTAAATCAATTCCCTCCATTCAAGGCGATAATGCCACTAAGATGCAGGGATCAACTAGAAATAAAAAAGAATTAAAAAAAAAACTTTAAAAAGAACTGGAAACCGAATCTTAAACATGGAAACAAAGAATAAATCTCTACTCCTGTTCAAAAGAACTGGGAGGAGTTTGAAACAAATATGTTCACACCTTTCCAGTCTTTTGAACAAGAGCAGAGGTTTATCCCTCGTTTTCTGTTTAGGATTGGGTTTCCTTCCAAAATCTTTTCATTCTCTTATATTTTTCCAATCCCTACAATTTTCAATCTAAAGTTAACAGTTATATTTCCTGCATAACCCCATGAACTTCACTCTTTGCCCTTTCTTACACTCATAGAGCACCACATAGTATCCCTCTACCTTGAGTGGTACTTGAGCCTTGTAGTGGGTGACCATTAGTAAAAAATAAAATTACAGAACTCTCCTCAGTATTCCAGCTGTTCTTAGTGGTGCTGTCGTCGTCTAGATGGTTTTGATTTTTTTCCTCGGATGGCCACTCTTTTCGGATGCTTCCTGAGTCTTTCGGACTCTTCTCAGGACTCCTGTCACGAGTGGCACTACTGTCACCTAAATGCTCTACAACTTTTTCAATTCTCTGGCAGGGGAAAGATACTTTTCAAACTTTTTTCCATTTTTTTTTTCCAGTTTTGTTCTTCGTTATGCTAGAACAGGAAATACGGCTATATCGCATTGAAACACCAGTTCTCGTACGATCACCGAAGTTAAACAACGTCAAGCTTGATCACTACTTAGATGGGTGACCGCTTGTTGTAAGCTTGGAAGTGTGGTTTGTGTAATGGATAAAGGATCGGAATTTGAAATCGAGGTGTCGAGTTCCTATTCCAGTCGGGTTTGTTATATTCACTTACGCACAAATACCCTTAGGAAAGGTATGGATCCTATTCTCCCCCTATATACGGGTTAATTAGTAGGTCTTATCAGTAAATAATTGTTATCTCCAAAGCATTCTTACAATCTAAAAATATTTTATGGCTTTAAATAGTTGATAAACCGTAAAAAAGTCAATCAAGCTGCCAGAACAACAAAATTTGCTAAATTCTTTTCTACGAAATTTGACACACTTAGTTGGGGCATTCGAAGCATTTTTTTTTATTTATATATATATATATATATATATATATATTTCATTCTCTTGAGCAAATGCTGGTCTGTGCATATATCATTGGTCTGTATGGTTTGAGAGTTTATTTCTTTTTATCTGAGGTTAAAACTCCCAAGAAACTATTGGCGGGGACCCAGGCTCTGGCACACCCACTGCGACAGATTGAGGAGAATGGTGAACAGCTCTGCGTACCAGCGTTTTTTGTTTTTTTTATTTTGTTTTGTTTTTTGTTTTTGTTTTTGTTTTTTGGGGGTTTTTTTTGTTTGTTTGTTTGTTCTTTTTTTTCTCTCTGAGGTACTCCTTGAATATTTCTTTCTTTTTCTCTAAGGTATTCTTTAAGTACTTATTACTTCATCTCACTGCTTGATCTACTTCCAAACTACCGAAATCCTAGCCACTTTATTCCCTGTTGAACGTTCTAATGCTTTCTTCTTGGGTAATCCAACTCCTTCGATGATTTCTCTTTTTCTTTTCTTCGTTACAAGCATTGATGCCATATTTTGCAATGCCAATTATCATTCTAGTGTTTTGGTTGTATTATGGTTTCCAATTCCTTTTTGTTTTTAGCAAAAAAAAAATTGAGGTCATCCATATCCATAAGGTGATTCACCTTTTCTCTCGGTTTTATCAACTTTATCCGCCATTACAATTTCGTGATATATCATTCAGTGGTATCATGTCTATGATGAATAGTGTTTGGGTCAGAGAGTCATTCTAGAAGATAGCATTTTTTTTATTTTGACCTCACCTTCCTGCTGTCTTTCTGTGGTTAATTCTATTAGCTTGAGTCATAAGTAATTTTCCAGTTGTCATGAGGAATATATCATCTTAACTACTAATCATACGTAGCAATTAAGATAAACTTGGAGTATACTAACATAATTTTTGCATTGCAGCGTACACGGTGGATGAAAGGAAAAATGTTGCTCTCCTCTGTGACAGCATAAAATTATATAAAGCAAGAAAAACACAGGAAAGACTTTGGAATTTTTTTTGATCTACCTTATCGCTCATATTCATCTGTCCTTGTACCAACTTGTTATTACATTTTCCATTACTGCAAATTTTTTTGATAGAGAAAAGCTGTCTCTAAGTAAAACCAGATTCAAGAATTCATTGAAAACCTTTTCCCATCAAAACCGATGTAATTTCAATCAAAACGTGTTGAAGAGCTACCTGATAAATGGCAACAGGCCATTGCAAATAATGGTCAATATTTATTTTAATAAAATGTAATTGTACTTTTTGAAATAGATATATACAGTCCTTCTGTATAATTATGGGAATGTTTTCACATGTAAGTCTTTGAAATATTGGGTAATTCCTGTTTTTAAGAACCAGATGTAATGAAGGTATCATCTTAACTAATAATCATACGTGGCAATTAAGAATAAATTTGAAGAACACAAACGTAACTTTTTACATGCATGTGGTAGCGTACACAGTGGATTAAAATAGTATTTTTCCTCCAAGTCACATTTTAATCTTTCTGTGCCGTGTCCCTTCAGGACGTAGGTGTTCATGGTTCTCCACATCTTCTTGTTCTTTGTGTGCTCTTAATATAAGTTATGCGTGTTTTTCCTCTGCCTCTTTTGCTTTCAATCTGTCCTGTGAGTATCAAAGTTTCCAAGCCTACCTTCCTTATTATATGCCTTAGAAACCTCAACTGCCCCTTACGTATAAGTATAAGTTTCCTTTTTGTTTCCATTATCTTTAAAAATTCGTCGTTGCTCACATGTTCGGTCCATGTTATCCGCAGCATCTTTCTGTAGCACAATATCTCTGTAGCTTCAAGTCTCTTCTTCATCCCTGAGGAGATTGTCCAGCATCCTCTGCGATACAGGAGTCGAGCTAAAAGCTCTTTCACACTACGAGAATCGATTATAGGATCAGCCTATATTCCTGTCTAGGAATTTCCCTCATGGCCATCTTGTACTTTTGGACGATTTGCCTGATTAGTTTTGCTGGACATCATTCGTTCTTACTTCTCCAAAATTTTATGAAGTGAAATCATCAATCAAATTTAGTAGCATGAGATTTTCCGTTTTATATTTGAGAGTCAGATATTATCGTTTCGAAATTGCCAAGGTTTGCGTCGACTCTCAGACAGTTCGACGCGATTTTTCTTCTGCTAGCATCTTCAACTGATTAACTGCAATTAAAGATGGACGTTTTCAACCATGTTTAACTTTGATGCACGTATCTTCCTCACGAAACTTGAGTCAAATGATGTTCTGTACGAAGAAAAATGGTTCCATCACACCATTTTTTCGTCGTTAGAGCCAGTCTTAAAAGCAAGTCAGCCAAGTTTATACTGGTGCGATAAAATAATGCATAATTCTTCTTTTTTTATCTTTTAAAGCCGAGGCTTTGCAACGCGTATAGGAAGGAAAACATGTGTTCATCTTGCAAAACAGTTTTTACTGTTTTAGAAAATCGGTAATTTTTACAGCTTCTACACATGATAAAATAGGTTGACGTTCCGATTTCGTCAGGATTCATCATCATCATTATCATCATCATCATCATCAAAATATTTGACTAATATTTACTTTCATCGTAATTTTTATTAAAGGATGCACTGTCGGCCAGTATAATCATTTTTTTTTTATTAGTATTCACTTTCATTTTCATGTTAATAAAGGTTAAAACATCATCATATATTGTAAATTATAATAATAACAATAATAATTAATATATGAATCATTATCAATAATTATTATTCATTTTTCACTGGTATTTACTTTCATATTTCATTTTTAAATGAACCAGTCAACCATTATTATGAATTTTGACTATTAATTACTTTCATCTCAATTTTTATTAAAAGAAGCAAAATCAACCAGTATTATCTTTTTTATTAGTATTCATTTTATATTATTTACATTATTCGGACTATTGTCCTCATCTTTGTCGCCATATTTATTACAACGTTTCGGCTGTTGTACGCTCCGGCCTTCTTCGGGTGGTTGGAATGTCGAACTGAACCATTAATTTCGCTCACTGGGGTAGACTGTTCTAGTTCCACGTGCCATGTTTAATGGATGTCAGTTATCAGTTATCTCCTGTTAATTTCCCTCTGAAAGTTCTCCACTGCCTTAACCGGGTATTGAACTGACACTCTTTTGGGTCCTGTCACTGGATCTAACTAACACCTTTATTCACTGTGCCATGTGTCGTTGAGGAAACAAAGATGAGGACCATAGTCCGAATAATGTAAATAATGTACATAATACCTCATCTCAGAAATATAGACAGGTATTCAATTTAATCTTAATAAAAATCACTTTTTTAACAAAAATGAAGATTCAAATATTATCATATATGGTGAATAATAATAATAATAATAATAATAATAATAATAATAATAATAATAATAATTTGCGGTTACAGAAATAGGACCTTTGAAAATTTTATGGTACTTTACAATACGGACATCCAGAATAAACAGAATACGGTTTCTTATTGATATGGCAGCCCCCCCCCCTGCAGATTGTAATGTATCTTTAAAGATCTTCAAAAACTATCAAATACAAGGACCTTGAAATGGAAATCTCACAAATGTGGCACACAAAGACATCAATAATTCCGGTTGTAGTTGGAGCACCCGGATTGATTGGAAAAGAATCCGATAGACTCAGTAAAGGGTTACCTGGTAGCCCATACCTTGAAGAAATATTAAAAAAATGATACTCACAAATACAACTCGCACATGACGAAGGGCTTTATCTACGTAAAATGTGTATAATCTTAGGGGCTTTTTTGTGGGGGGGTGTTTTTTTACAAAAATATCATGAAGTCATTTCTGACCTTAGGTCTCTGGTTGGGACCCGGACGGAAATGTGTATACAATAGAAATCAAAGGAAATAATAATAAGATGATGAGGAGGAGGAGTAGAAGGACGATGGTGATGATGATGATGATGATGATGATGACGAGGAGGAGGAGGAGGAGGGTTTCCAATAACTGCCAATGTTTTGAAAAGAAGTATTTAAACCAATCGAAAGTCTGCACGAATGCATCAGAGAGTGTCGGGGATTTGAGGAGACGTGTCATTTGCTTTCGAATGGCGACCATCATCCTATATCTTTGGTTGAGAACGTGTCAATTATAATCACCAGGCTATAGATTGAAACTGAAAGAGAGTAAAAAAGAATCTAAATAAAAATTAAAGAACAAACAGATAGAGAACTTTGCGGAGATTATTATGGCGGCCCTCAATGTTGGGTCAATAGGGACTGTCCATAAAGCATTTCATTAAGGCGATGAAGCTAAGCTAATGAATTCGAAGACTTTGCTCAGGAACATATATATAGTTATTAGGTGTCAAGCAAGTGGGCGTTTATCAGGCACCCCTGTAGGGAAAACGGACGTGAGTTCGAATCTTACCGAAAGCTTATCCTTCAGCACTGACTACTCACTGTCGTAGAGTGCCAGTGTGAGAGAAGTTGTAAATAAAAGGAAGTTAAAAATAAAAATTAAAGTATCAAATATTGAAGACATTAATAATAATGGCTAACAAAATTTTATTAAATAAAAAATTGAATTAAGATGAATTAAGTAATAATTGTTGACAATGCTTCTTTTAAAAATATTGTCAAAGTATAATTTTCATTTTCATCAGATTATTATTATTATTATTAT